TCTGTGATCTACTTTTGTGCAAACCTGCCCCCACAACTGGAGGTATTAAACACATAAAATTTTTAAAAACACTGAAAACAGAGCTCTTTCATCACCACACAAAAGAATTGCTTAGTATCTCAAGGCCGATTTGACCTGAAATGGCAATAATAATGGTATTATATGTAATAATAATAATAATGATAATGACATATGTTATAATATGTTATAATAATAATTATATATTATATATTATAACAATAATATAATATATGTTATTATAATAATGTCGTAAATAATGAGGAAATGAGCTGTAGAAGACCGAATACTCTTAAACCCAACACCTTTTTTTAAAACATTTTTTTTATTGAGTTATAGCCATTTTACTCAACACCTTTAACTGACCCCAATTTGACACCCAGACTTTAGTAGACTTGTCATAGAAATGCGTATACACCTTTTTTCTGTATGCAGGTAAATAAAACTGTAAAACTCAGTCAGATTGTAGACAATGGCAGCATTTCATTCTTTTTCACTCTTTAGCAGATCCTGGTACGCAGTGTTTTTCAATATATTCTTGTAAAATTAGTAAAGCATATAATTTTCATAGATTTATGAGTTTTCAGATAGAAATGAGTATGTTTTATATTACTGAAAAGCACTGTTTTACTTATAGAACAGAGATGTTTAGCAAGCCAAGCAATGTTGTCTTGTTTTAGGCAACAGGGACCTAGTAAACCTAGGTTTCCTGCGTTCCATTATTACGCACTGAATTTATAGGATAATGGTCCATGCCCCTGGGCCAGACAACCATTTTCTGGAAGGAGGCGAGCGAAAACAAACCGTTGCCTGCTTAGTGTTAGGTTTAGGAGCACCAATGAGACCAGAAAAAAACACATAGACACAGATTAATTCTAGTGTCTTAAATGCTACCTTATGTCTTCCCCTTAGCTATTCTCTGTTAACATACCAGCTTTGGGGAAGTAATGTATGATCTGATTTTTTAGTAATACATGACTACCCACACTCCAAATTTAATGGTGAGTGGGAGAGCAATTACGTGGTCCATGAGATTGCAGTCTGCGCCCTGCTAACAAGGACAGCCTGGGGGACTTAGTGTCCCTCGGGATGCGGAAGCACCCGAGGGAAATGTGAGTGTGGGAGGCACCGGAAGGCGGTCACCAAGGATGACTTTGTCTCCCTCAAATACGCACCAGAGAAGAAGGGAATGTCAGTACAGTTCTGGGCACCACAAGTCTATCATTCTGTGATGATTTCCTGATGGAAAATGACCAGCAATTTCTTAGGTAATTTCAGAGTTGCCGCAACAATGTCTCCCACAGGAGGACATTAGGTATTTTACTATTGGGAACATCGCTCAAAAAATAACAATGCGTTAGAAAAAGACGTTAAAACTGTCACTGGAATCACTTTTCCAAAAATTTAAAATATGCTAATTTCATCAAATTTTGCCTGAAGAGTATTCTAACTTTATAGAAAGCAGAAAGAAAGTCCATAACAACAAACAATACAAACTAGTCTACAGAAGCAGCTGCAAACCTGCGTTTCTGTCTACTCAAAGCTAATCTTTGGGGGAAAAAAAATGAAACTACCTGAAATATTACAATGCATAAACTGCATGCCCTGCACACTTTTTCTTGTGTTTTGTTTTACACAAATTTTACATTTACAGGTCTGTGGCAGTTAAATTAACTGCAGTGAGATAAAAGATGCGCAGCTAATGTACATGGTTATTGTACATTTGGGGGAACATTTATCCACTGTGTTCATTTAAAGAACACACAGCAACCTATGCTTGTACGTGTAGCGCAATGATTTACATATAATAAAATATTTTCAATAAATGGACGACACAGTGATTATCCCCCTGACATCAAGGGATTCCAGCTTGTTCGGTTTCTATCTGATTCCGGAGACTTTCCAGGGAGGCTGGTCCTCCACGTCATCTTCTCTTCACACTGACATTTACTATGGTCCAGCGTCCAGGTGACATGAGTAAAGCAGATCGCCTCCCAACGCGACCATCCTTCCTATTTGCTCCCCTCTGCCATCATCCAATCAAAGTTGGGATCCCACCTTGGTTTAGAAGTGGGACTTGAATGTCTCTTGATTCCCTAAGAAATCTCAGAGTCTATGGGTTATTAATTTTATGAGTTTTCAAAGTCACTTTAACATAAAAATACCGCAACAGTCTATGAGACTTTTTAGGAGAGTTGTATTGTAGGATTCCTGAATACAGTTCAGTAAACAAATCTGTCGACAGATTTGTTTACTGAACTGTATTCAGGAATCCGTTGTGAGCAACTTCGACAGGTCAAAGAAACAATGTCTACAGGACTACAGAAGTTTAGTTATCATCTCTGGGTTTCAGTTTCTCTATCATAGGGTGAGGTTGTCAGAAACAACTCAGGACTTATGTGATAACATAAAATACATGATATATGAGGTGATAATTAAATATGAGTTGGTAAAAAGGCCCAAATTGCCTCTATTTAAAATCAAATCTCTTTGCATTTAAAAGCCATTGCTTAGAGTTATTTTAAAGAAAGACCAGATAAATTGTGTATGTATAATTTTACTCATATCAAGATTTTTATGATATAAAAATTGTATATTAATCAGATGCTCATCAGCAAAGGACAGAATGAATAAATGCATGAGCATCAGTAGAAAGACTACATTGGCTACATTCATAATATCTATATGTATAAAATATGTTTGTTCTGATGTCAGTTTTGTTTAAAATGTTAAAATGTCATAACTTAGAAGATAAAATTTCTTATTCCTAAGATCTGTATGATTATGATTATTTTCTTGCTGTTTTTACGAAAAATGTTTTATCTGTAAATGCATTTCATGGGCTAGAGTTTGTGCATGTGTATCCACGTAAGTGTGAGTATGAGTGTGAATGACCGTGGCTTTGTTTTCTAAATTATGGAATTAAAACAAAATGTCTGTATAGAGATTTTTGAGCTGAAAACAAGGACCACTCATTGACCGGACTCATTTTGCTATTGTTAAATAAGTATAATTGGGCAGGAAGGTAGAGAGGACAAAAGTAATATTTTCTGAGTTCTTTTTTTTTTTTCTTAGTCACCCAGCCTGTAAGAGATAACAGATGATAGACATACTATTATATTTGTCACTTATTCCCCAGAGACCAAGTACTCAACACCAGGGAGCAGACGCAGAGGTGGTTATATAGGGTCCAGCTCAGTCAGGAGGTGATGCTGGGTCTCCCTGCAGAGACAGCTGCTTGTAACAAGGAAGTCAGGGGTTCTGGTTCAGATACTATCATCTCTTTCTTGTTTTTCAGACTCAAGTTTTAGTTTCTTTTATCTCTCATTTTTTTTAACTGAAAGCATATTACAAAGTCAAAGTAGGATATGAAATATTATACAAACTTTTATTTCAATTACATTTTTCAATCTATTTCATTAAAATACATATATACACAGATAGCAGGGACTATAAATAAGAGCAACTATGTGATGGTCAGACATTTTATATTCTTTTAAATGTCTTACCTGTACTTTTATACATTTTTTAAGTTTTCATTTTTAAAGGAAAAAATTTTTTTAAATAATGTATCTACATAGATTTTTAGGGGGGCATGGCATTTTTTTATGGACTTATAGTCAGTTTACAATGTGTCAGTTTCATACAGCACAATTCTTCAGTCTTACATGAATATACACATATTCATTTTCATATTACTTTTCACTGTGAGCTACTATAAGATATTGAATATATTTCCCTGTGCTGTACAGTGTAAACTTGTTTATCTATTTTATATACACCAGTCAGTATCTGCAAATCTCAAACTCCCGGTTTATCCCTTCCCACTCCCTGCCCCTCGGATGGATAGATATTTAAATGAATTTAAGTTGAGGGTTTGGAGACCCGCACTTTGAACTCTAGACCATTTTCAGATGGTCATTTTCAGTTCTTCATCTGTCTTCAGCTTCACTTGAATATTCTCAAAGAACAGAGGAGGACATGAATGACGTTAATAACATCATTAGTTGAGGAGAATATAACAGTGGGGCAAAGAATTCAAGAAACACCAACTTATTTAAGCTAGGAAGAGGCAGATTTCAGCAACATTCACGAGAAATCATGATCAAAAGAAACAATAAAACAACGTTCAATTTCTGGGGAATTGGGATGGGGTGGGGTTCAGGTGTGGCTCTGGACCCATGAGTACTCTTACCAAGCGTCTTATACATCTGATCTGCTGGTGAACAGATCCTGTGGGTGCCAGTCCACCATGGCAGAAGGACTCAAGTACCAACCACACTGCCTTTCCTGCCTGTGTGTCACCTGTGCTTCTAGTAACCCTTACACTAGGTCCCGTTGATTCTTCAGAAATTCTCCTGAGCGACAGCCAGTGTCAGGGGGAATGTGGTCAGCCCTGGCGTATTTCTGCCCGTGCTCTCCAGAATATTGCTCATGCTTCGCCTTCTTTAGCTCCCTCCCTGCTCCAGTGGGTCCTGAATCACAGAATCTCTCTATCCTTTGTTGACTGATACTGGACCTGAGGAGGTTAATGGGGAAGTGGGGGCATGTTATATCCAGGTAATTGGCAAAGCAAAAGTGTTGTCAGAAGACATGGGTTATCTGGACCAATTAATTTAAGAACTGTTGTCTCAATGCTGAGGACATTAATTTCTTGATATGAGATAGAAGTAGCAAAAATTATCATAAATGCAATGAGGTTGGTGTGTAAATAGCATGACTTAATTTAGATAGAAGTATGCCACAGATGGTCAGTGCTAGACAATTACCATTATCATTACCATTGATTGTTTTACACTAAACTGGATGTAGTTTCAGGCAGCCAGGGTATTTCATGCAGCCCTAGTATTATCTCTTTTCCTAGTTATTGAGATAGAGAAAGAACCAGCAGTTTAGCTGTGAAGATAGTAAGATGATGTTAACCCTCCACTTCCACCACCTCCATTTCCTCTACCCCAACCAGGGGTTCCCAGATCTGAGTCATGGCTGTGGAGAACTGCTCTGTGTCTGCTGACTTCACGTTCCTAGGACTTTCTGGCAGAAGAGACGTGCAGCAGGGGCTCTTCGTGTTCTTCCTGCTAGTTTACGGCATCACCGTGATGGCCAACCTAGGGATGATCCTGCTGATCAAGGTGGACCCCAGACTCCACACGCCCATGTATTATTTCCTGAGCAACCTGTCCTTCTGTGACATCTGCTACTCCTCCAATGTCTCTCCCAGGATGCTGGCTGATTTCCTATCTGAGCAAAAGAGGATTCCATACAATTTGTGTGCCATCCAGATGTTTTTCTTTGGAGCCCTTGCAGACGTGGAATGTCTCATGTTGGCTGTCATGGCTTATGACCGCTATGTAGCCATCTGCAACCCACTTCTGTACACAGTCACCATGTCCAGGAGAATCTGTACCCAACTTGTGGCTGTCGCCTACATTGTAGGCTTGGTGGATTCGGCAATCCACACCTGTTTAACATTTCACTTGTCTTTCTGCCAGTCTAATATCATCAATCACTTTTTCTGTGACATCCCACCCTTGCTAGCCCTCTCCTCCTCAGACACATCCACCAATGAGATCATGATGTTCACTTTTATTGGCTGTGTTGTGGGCTGCAGCATCATCACCGTCCTCCTCTCCTACGGCTACATCATAACCACCATCCTTAGGATGAACTCGGCACAGGGGAGGCGCAAGGCCTTCTCTACGTGTGCCTCCCACTTGACGGCGGTGGCCGTGTTCCACGGCACCCTCCTGTTCATGTACTTCCGACCCAGCTCCAGTTACTCCATGGACACGGACAAAGTGGCCTCTGTTTTCTACACGGTTGTCATACCCATGCTAAACCCGCTGATCTACAGCCTAAGGAACAAGGATGTGAAAGGTGCCCTGAAAAAAGCAATCAGCCCTGAATTATGCTCTGGGTGATACAATGTTTTCACCTTAAAGTATTTATTTAGAGATTCTGAGAGTGAAATGGCAGGTTTTTGACACAGATTCTTACAGTCTCACCAATAGACTTTCTAGATATTTTCCATTACTTATTTTTTTTGTGCCTAAACTGAGTATGGGGGTCAGTGATTTTTTTTTTTTAATCTTAATCTTTTCTCAAAACTAAGGAGGAGCAGCCATAGCTTTGTTTTGCTGTTTGGCACAGAAGGCCTGTGCACGTGTCCGCTCACCCTGTGCGTGTTCCTTCACGACACTCAGAACTGCACGAGTAAGAAATAAATAAATCAGAATAAATGAAAAGCAAAACATCATGCCCCCAATTCCAAGTTCCGTAAGTGCGAGGCCCCTGCTTATCTTGTTCACTAGTATTTCTCATTTGTTGTTTAAAATGCTTGATGTCAGTATGCCATTCAGAGATATTTAGTGAATAAATCAACATGCCCCTTGCAAACTGATGCAAAAGGAAACATTGTCTATTTTTGAAATAAAATAATTCCCTTTATCCTATTTTATCCCAGAACATCCATCCTAGACAAAATCCCTCTATGCTTCTGTCTTTTGGCTTAGGCTGAGTAAGTACCAGCGGCAGGGGTTGTTGGATGTAGGGAGTTTCTTGGATCCTCTGTTTCTCATCATTCTGCCCAAGTTGCATCAGCAGGCAACCCCAGGATCAGCAGCTCAGCATTTAGATTGCACCTCACAGTCTTCGCATCAGCCTGTGGAAGTTCCTTTTCGCCCTCACTCCAGAGAACAGACACGGTGCTGCTGACACCAGCCCAGAAGCTGCGTGAATGACAGTTGAAGGTTATGTACCTAGACCTTCTCTAAAAGCCACTAGAAATGAAGATTCCATCTTCTTTGGTGTGTTAATAGCACTGTACTTATTAAAATTTAAAAAAATGAAATGCACAATTGATATACTTTGAGTTGTATAGGAATAGTTATTAACAAAAATATATATTCAAAGGGAAAAAGAAGTCATATTTACATTCATATTCTGTTTGTGAATAATTGTATTCACTCTCTGTGTATCTGTCAAATAAATGGGAACAGTATTCTAAACACAATTTTAATAGTGGTCATTTCCTAGTAGCTGGATATCAAGTAACCTTCACTATACGTAATTAACTTACGTTAATTGCTTATGCTGTTCTCACTGTAATAAATTAGTGATTAATCCATTTCTGACAAACACAGCACTAGATCAGGTTGTCAAAACTATACTTTTTATTTTATGTTGTCAACAAAGGAACATGGAGGCAGTCTTTCCTGGTTCTAGGAGGACAGCGAAATGAGTTATACATGGTTTTCAATGTTGCTTCTTAATTATATACATGCCTTTAGACATAATATGTGCTGAATGTTATGTACTTCAAAACATTTTGAAAATGAAACAACACATAAAACATGCAGTTTTTAGCATGAGGAGAAATCCTGTCTTTCTGTTAACTCTCAGGTGAGGTTTCTGAATAAACAGGAAATTATCTGGAGTCCTCAAGAGAATAAACTTGTGACACAGGAAAATGGGACACAGAAGAATGGCCACTTTCCAGGTCCCAGGAGAGTCCCTGGGCTGCACCCTAACAAGTGAGGGTCCTTGGCTTCATTCAGGAAATAATTCAGAGCGAGCCATAGTTGAGTAAAAGTAGATTATGTGGCTGGAGAAAGAAAATTACACAAGTTAATGGAAAAAAAAAAAGAGCATTTAGCATAGCGATTGAAAAATTGTTATATTCCTAAGTGAGAAAATGAAGGAGGTTTGTTTCAGAAACAAAAGAACAGGATAGAAATACTTAAGGATAAACAATAATTAGATACAATAATTTTTATTTAATAAATGCATTAATTTCAAAAAGTTTACAGAAGAAATAATAGCAGGTGAAATTACTAAGTGGAGGGGCCATCTGAGTTTCGTCAGATGTCTGATTTGACTGGAGGAAGGGGGTGTAGACTATGAGTAACAATGAATCGTGCTTTACACAGCATTTTCCCTTCCTGATGTTAATCAATTTGGTGCAAGTGTGAAGAATTAAAAGTTCAGCCTTTGCTGGAGTTACTACAAGAGTCACAGGGGAAAATACCAAACTAGAAATCTAATTAATCATGTTTGCGTAACACAGAAGTGTGAGGTCAGAGGCTTTAGAAATTTAAGTCCCAAATGTCACTACATAAAAATAAAATGTGATCTGTCTAAATCCATCTACGGGAGCCAAGAACAGAGAGCTCTGCTCATCACAGGTACGTTTCTGAGCTGTCAAATGTAAAGAGTGAAAAATAAAACCTTTACATTTTGAAAAATAAGGAATCAAATATTTAGAAAATTGCAAGTGAAGATTTTATTGACTTCCTTTGGGTAGTCATCTGCAACCTAGTGGCAAAAATTACATTTCTCATCAAAGCAGGGTAAATCAGATCCATTCTGATTAGCAAATGAACAGTTTTGCTTACTTATATCTTAATCAAATTTAAGGAAAAAATGGGATTTTAAAAATCTCTGTGAAAGGGTATATGCAAATATAAGACTTTTTTTCTAATTTTTTAACCAATAAAAATTGACGTATCACAATACAAATAAAAATTTGTGTAAATTCAAACCCATATGAACCATGTATCATATTTACTGAGGTCTAATACAAAATCAGACCATCATTCATATTCCAATTCTTATACATTGACAGAGAGTCCTGGTGCACATCCACACACACACGCACACACACACAGAAGCTTATATCAGAGATGTGTTCATTAATCCAGTTCCCCTCTCTGTGTTTTTAATGAACAAGTCAGGTTAAAATCCTAAAGGGCTGTAAATGCATTATTTAAATTCTGTTGTTTCCACTTGTTTTCAGCATTTCTTTTTATCTGGTCAAGAGGCATATCCTTTGGCACCAGACCACTCTTGAATGTAAGTAATAATCATTTGGCCATGCAGTAAAATAGTAGAGAAAATTTCACTAAAATATAGCTAATGTCTCAGTAAAACATTAAAACGTAGACCAAAAACAGTAATACCATATTGTTCATTATTTTTAAACCAGAGATAAGTTCATTGTGTTTTTAATATACAGTAATAAATAAATTATGATTCTTAAGAATTGAGTAAGGATATGAATTTTTATGTTTAATTGGGGATAAATATTTTTAAAATATGAGGCTGAATATTCCAGCTTTGTCTTTAATTTAGGTGTTACTTTTGTATTATATTTGACCTGTAATGAGCTTTCAGTTATGATTCACGGCTGAGATAAAGCAGTGGCGTTTCACACAATCCATACACATCATGGATGACATTCAAATTTAGAGGCAAGCGCTCTCAAAATCCTATCCCAGACACTAACTCTTTCCAGCTAAATAGCAATGAAATTTGTATGGGCAATTTTCTGAGAATAAAGTATTTAATGTACTGAAATAAATTATATCTGACTTACAGATTATATTTTGTGTCAAAAAGAGAAAAAACTTGGATCTATTATTTTCTTGATCATTTCTGGAGCATTTTTAGAAGGAAAATAAAGAAGAATGGATGGGGGAAATCGCTCTTCCTTGAATGAATTCCTTCTCTTAGGAATTAGCAATCACCCTGTGATCAAAGTGACTCTGTTTGCTGCCTTTCTACTTGTTTATCTCATTATTCTTGTTGCAAATCTTGGGATGATCATTTTAATAAGAATGGACTCCCAGCTTCACGTGCCAATGTACTTTTTCCTCAGCCACGTCTCCTTCAGTGACCTCTGCTATTCCACAGCAATTGGGCCCAAGATGCTGGTGGACCTATTTGCCAAGAACAAATCCATCCCCTTCTATGGCTGTGCCCTGCAGTTACTGGTCTTCTGTACCTTTGCAGATTCTGAGTGCCTCCTGCTGGCCGTGATGGCCTATGACCGGTACAAGGCCATCAGCAACCCCCTGCTCTACACAGTCAGCATGTCCGGCAGCGTGTGCTCCCTGCTCGTGGTGGGGGTGTACCTGGTGGGGATGGCGGATGCTTCTATAAATACAATATTAACATTCCGCTTATGTTTCTGTGGGTCCAATGAGATTAACCATTTCTTCTGCGATGTCCCGCCTCTGCTTTTGCTCTCTTGCTCAGACACACAGGTTAATGAGCTGGTGATATTTATCATTTTCGGCTGCATTGAACTGATCACCCTCTCAGGTCTTTTTGTGTCTTATTGTTATATCATCCTAGCAGTGCTGAGGATGCGCTCAGCTGAGGGGAGGCTCAAAGCTTTCTCCACCTGCTCCTCCCACCTAACTGCTGTGGCCATTTTCCAGGGGACTCTGCTCTTCATGTATTTCCGGCCGAGCTCTTCCTACTCTCTGGATCAAGACAAAATGACATCACTCTTTTACACCCTTGTGATTCCCATGTTAAACCCTCTGATTTACAGCCTTCGGAACAAGGATGTGAAAGAGGCTTTGAAGAAACTTAAAAATAAAAAGCGGTTCCATTGAAAATTTATATGTATATGTTTTTCCCCCAGTCTTACACCGTAATTCATGGAAATCAAAACTGCTTCCACTACCATGGTGTGATCCAGGAACTATGCCCTGTTCCAGCCATGGCAAAATGTGTCATTCCCAAGAGGCCACGTGCTTCATTTTAGGTCTTAATTTATAGCTGATACTCATTATTTATGGAAAAGTTTTGGACTCTTAAGTTTCCCAAAATTGTTTTTCTTCAATCTTCATATGTGCATTCATTAATGTTTCTGAAAGTTACTGAGTATTTTCTAAGGTCTTGTTGCACTTCTATGTGCTCTGTGTTTCATGGGGAGTCCATCTGTTTCTATACTAATTAACCTTGTTATCCAACAGAAGTGACAAACATTGATTATTCTAGTGGCATAGCCTGTGGCAGACTGGAAACATCAGAGTAGGCCAGACGAACAAACTTACAAAACTGTCTTAGGCTGTGCACAAAACATTAAAAAAAAAAAACACCAAAACTCAGTCTTCCTTCCCCAGCACTGACTGAGTCAATAGGACAGTGAAGACAGAGACAATTCTGGCTGAACAACCTCGAGCTGGGCCTTTCACAGAGATTCCCGGCAGGAAATCCACCCACCCACAGAGGGGCTGAAAGAAATCTAGGCATTATGATTTGGCCATTGTCTAAAACATCAGTTTTAGATTCCACACATAAGTGATATCATGTGATATTTGTCTTTCTCTGTCTGACTTATTTCACTTAGAATGATAATCTCTAGATCCATCCATGTTGCTACAAATGCCTTTATTTCATTGCTTTTTATGGCTGAGTAATATTCCCATATATGCCACATCTTCTTTATCCAGTCATCTGTCGATGGACATTTAGGCTGCTTCTATGTGTTGGCTATTGTAAACAGTGCTGCTAAGGACACTGAGATGCATGTGTCTTTTCAAGTCAGACTCTTCTCCAGCCACTTGTCCAGGGGCGGGATTCCTGGATCATATGGTAAGTCTCTTTTCAGTTTCTCAAGGACACTATACTATTCTCCATAGCGGCTGCACCAGTTCACACTCCAGCCACCAGCAGTGTAGGAGGGCTCCCTTCTCGCCACACCCTCTCCAGAGTTTATTATTATTTGTAGGTTTTTGAATGATGGCCATTCTGACTGGTGTGAGGTGGTACCTCATTGTGGTTTTGACTTGTGTTTCTCTAATAGTTAGTGATGTGGAGCATCTTTCATGTGCCTGTTAGCCGTCTGTGTGTCTTCTCTGGAGAAATGTCTTTTTAGACTTTCTGCCCATTTTTTGATTGAGCTGTTTGTTGTTTGTTTTTTTTTGTTTGTTTGTTTTGTTCTGATATTGAGCTGTCTGAGCTGTCTGTACATTTATTAGTGAACTCTATAATATAGTGGAAATAAGAAACATTAGTTAACTAATCTTACTAATAATTATAATAAACTAAATCACCAAAACAAAAAAGCAGGATACTCTAAATGGACGCAAAAGGTCTCTGTTTAGAGTGCAGAGAAGAAAAGATTCTTTGGAATTCAGCTTCAGATCTAAATGATGAATAGAGATGCAATGGATGGTGAGGAGAAGAAGGGTGTAAATTAGAGATTGGAGGGCAATCCCATCATAGAGGATACGAAGTCCAAGATGAGGATAAAAGAGCACCTGATGAAGTACGTCTTTCTCTGAAACTCTGTCACTTCCATTCCTCTCTCCTTCCCTTCTTTCTCCTTCTCAGTCCTCATTAAATGTCCCTTATTGTGAATTATACATAATACTCTCCTCACGGCATTATTTTATCTCTCACTCAGTTGAGTAAAGCATTGCTTCAGTGTGAGACTTGGTGCATTCTTTGCTCAAAGACCAAGTGTTCTATTTCTGTTATCCCAGTACCTACATCATGTCTGGGATGCAAATGGGAAAAAAGAAATAAATAATAAAAATCAACATACCAAATAACATTTTTGAATGCACAACAGATGTCACTGAAACCATAATTAAATGAACTTATGACATGTGCCTGCATGTACATAGTTATACATATGTGTGTGTGCGTATATATATATATATATATATATATACTTAATAGAAAGTACACACAAGGATTGTAGATAGTAAGGTAATGCATCTATAAAAATATTTATGTTTATTACTCATAAAGTGAAAATTATCCATCTGCATACTTTCTTGATGTGCTCTGCTTCATCTGGCTTTGTCAGGTTTTTCTGATGACAAAGCATGTGAACACGGACATGGACATATAAATGAAGGACCGTGCAAGACTCAGTGACATCCTTATTACCCATTAGAATTTCACCTCTTTAGTGATTTTAAACATCCTGTGTGAAATCGTGTCAGAATGGATGTAAAACCCAAGACACTTCTTGCTACCGATGGTGGCATTTATGGGAAACAAGTGACAAATTAGGGGTAAATACAGGGTTGGGAAAAATTATGGGGAATACGTCTTTTAAAAATATGCTGATATTTTCCATCTGCATCACCTTTTGTCAGTTTACCCATAGTCTTGTTAATATTTCTTAATAGCTCAGTACGGCAGAAAAAAGTGTTTGAAATATATTAAAGTCCAAACAAATCATACAATTTTCATAGAATAGTTAATTAAGTTATTATTCCTTATGTCAGGAGAAATGCCTAGCTTAGAGAACAGAGATGTTTTTAGCAACTCATAGGTGCTCCTTTTCTTGTTTCCTGCAACAGGAAGACACAGTAAACCTAATTTTCCCTGGCAGCATTAACGTGCACTAAACGTATATGACAACAGCTCATGCCTCAGGGCCACACAACCATTTTCTAGCAGAAGGCATTCCTAAGTACAGCTGCCTCGGTGGTATCATATTTACATGAACCAGTGATACCAGGAAGTCCTACACATAGAGATTTTTTTCACTTGCTTTTCTCTATCATCTTAAAACCCACCTTATGTCTTCCTTTCATAGTTAAAGCCATTCTCATTAACATGCAAACCTTTTGGGAAGTAATTTATTATCCAATTTTCAGTAATATATTGCTCCTCATTTTTTGGATTTGATGGGGGTGGGAGTTAGACTAAATGGTCCCCAAGGGCATCCATGCTTATGAAGTTAGGTTTGGATCCAAACCAAATAGTGTAGCTTGAGGAAGTTGGGCATCCCTGGAGACAGGGACATATCTGAAGGAAAAGTGAGTCAGGAAAGGAATCAGAGGATGGGGACCAAGGATACCACTGCCTCCTTCAAATATGCCATAGAAGTAGAGAACGGAAGTAAAACTCTTAATTACAACAAATATATAACTTTCTTATGTGTACCTGATGGATAATTACTAGCAAATTCTTAGTGGCTTGAAAATTGCTCCAACATCTCCTGCAGGAATGCACTTGATGTTTCAGTACTGGGACCATGACTCAAAGAACAGCAACACATTATGAAAAGGCAGTAACAGTTGTCACTAAAGTCACTTCTCCCAAAATCATAAACATATTAATTTCATTGAGTTTTGCCTGAAGAATAATCTAGCTGTATAAAAAGCAAGAGGCAGCTGCATAACAACAAACAACAAAAAGTCAACAAAAATAACTTCAAAAATCTAAGTCCCTGTTTACTCTAGGCCAAGTTTCAGAAGAAACAGGAGACCATCCGGAGTACTGGAGTGCCTAAACCCGGCATGTCTTGTACATCTTACTTTTCTTGTTTGTTTGAGCAAGTTTAGCATTTCTATGACCACTAGGTGCATTAAGACTCAAGATGTATGGCTGATATGTGATTATTGCACATTTTTGGGGAAAACGTTTATCAACTGCAGGCATATAAGGAACACGTGGCACCTGCACTTACAAGTTTACAGCTGTGATTCACACACATGCTAAAATATTGCTCAATAAATGGACAGGGCAGATATTATTTCTTATACTGCCAGGTTGCACGATGACAAAGAGCCCCGATTTCCTTATTTTCTATATGATTTCTGAAACTGGGCAATGCAGCCTCCCCCTCCACACATCACTCTCCACACCAGCGTTAATTGTGTACAAGTGTCCAGGTGACATAAATAAAACAGATCACCTCCCAATGAGACTCCCTTCCTCTTGGCTCCCCTCTGCCATCAGTCACGTTGGGACCCCACGCTGGCTTAGAAATGGGACTTGGGTGGCCTCTCAGTCCTCTCGGAAGTCTAGGAGTCCACAGGTCCCTGATTTTGTGTGTCTTCAGTTGTTACTTTACATAGTCCAACATCCTATAAGAATATTTAAGGGAGTTATCTTTTAAGACAAATTTGTTTCAATAAAGTCAGTAAAGCTTAATGTCTATGAGACCCTGGAATTTTACTTATCATCTGTGGGTCTCAATTTCTATAACAAACACAAGATTATTAGAGACAATTCAGGACATCTATGATTATATACATATATATAATACATGATAGCATGTGGTCATAATTTGATAAACATCGTATTGTATGAAACATCATTTGGTGAAAAGGCCAAAATTGCATTTGTTTAGGTAAATCTCTTCTTTTAAAGGTCATTTATGGAATTTATTTTAAAGATATAATAAATGATGTAAGTATAATTTTACTCACATCAGCATTTTATGATATGAAGTATTGCATATAAACCAATGGCCTTTGGCGGGTATGCTTAATACTTGTTTATATGCACAAAGCATATTTATTCTGACATCATTTTGTTTAAAAATTAAAAATGCAAAAATATAGATAACAGAATATGGTTACCCATAGGCATTGTGATTCAGGACTATTTTTTTTTTTGCTCTATTTACAAAAATCTTTTCTTTGTGAATATGCTTAATAGGAAAGAGTTTGTATATGTGGGACTGTGTCCTTGTGTGAAAGTGATTGGGTGTGGCTCTTTGTTGTTGTTGTAAATTATAGAATTAAAAACAAACTGCCTATATGTAGTTTGGTGAAGGGACGTAAGGAATGCTGGTTTCCTGGAGACACTTTATTATTGCTAAATACGTAGAATATTGGGCAAAAAACAGAGAGAAACA